ACTTTTAAGCTATCTTGCCTTACTCTTTTTAGGCTAGAAACCTGAAAGGAAACCATTTCTGTTACAGTGAGAGGAAGTCACCCTTAGTCCAGTTTTCTTCCTTAATAATATTGTTTGTATCAAGGTAACTGTGTTACCTCTACTGCATCCACATCTCACTAATCTCTGAGGTTTTAGGAGATTTATACGCTCTCCTGTAATTGGTAGGGTTGACTTCCCCAGAATATTGCTAAGGCTAGACCCTGAAGACAATAATATTTGAAAACAACAGCAGTAACAACAAGGATTCCACGTAGCTCCAAAAATCAGGTAAAAGCTGGAGGGAATGTTAGAGGAAAGATCGAGGATTAACTTGCAAACTCTGTTTTCTCTGATATCTGGATCTAGGTAAATTGTCTACCATCTTGTCTGCTGGATCACTCATCACCTACACATTTTATAAAAGGTTACCCAAAAAGAAATTTTTAACCAGGAATCTTAACAAGCCTTTAAACGCTAATAAGCAGCAGACTCTGGTGTTTGCTTTTAGTTACTCCTAACAAGCAAAAGAGTATCAGTCATCAACTTCCTAGGTGGCTGTAGGGAATACCTCCTTATTCCTACAGTAAGTCTATATGGACAAAAACTGATGTGGCAATCACAAGTGTGAACACCATTATCATTGCCTTCCTCCATGAGCTCTCTTCGGTGAAAAAATTAATTCAGGTCTTTTGAAAACCCTCTGGGATCTGCCTTTTCGTATCCAGGAACCCTGTGGGCTTTTTCTGATTGCTGCTTGATAGTGCTAACTATTTTTTCTGTTTTTTAATTTTTAAGTGTTTGTATTTTATGTCAACCTCCTCAGTGAAGTTCATACAGTATACACAGCCATACTCTACAGTCACATGTCTGTCTGAGAACTTTCTTGGCTTAATTGTGCTTCCAGAACATTCTAAATGAAAAGAATTAATTACATGTCATTTAACAAATAAAGTAATGGAAATTATTAGCATTTGATATATAGATAATAGCTAAGATTGATGCTTGGTAAAATCCTAATTTTCCTGTTTTAATGGAAAAAACAAAAAACACTTGTTTCTTCATCATAGAGGCAGCTGCCAGTCTACACAGAAGAATTTAAAGCTAAAGATACAGTAAAATCTTACCCAACAAATATATTTACAAAAAAGAAACAAAACAAAAAAAAAATTCAAGTTAGGTTTCACATTTCAAGGAAAAGTCAGCAAATAAGCATGATTTAATTGTCGGAAAGTTAGGCTTCAGTCTGTGCACACCATGCAGACATGGGATCACAGTTCAATAGGAAGAAGAAAAAGAAAACCCAAGGGACCAGTTTGATTGTAAATGGGTCATTTTTCCATACCTAAGAGGGTGTGGAAAGTCCATCTTTGGAGAGAGTGTCAAGAATTCTATTCCCATATGAAGGGTATAATTTGAAGGCCATTCTACCCAGAATCACTGAGAGAAACTAAATGGCCTTCTAAATTATTGTTTTATTTGGTTGCATGTGGACTCAGTTCCCTTAAACAAAAGTTTGAAGCTTTGTTACTTCATACCTTGTTACTCTAACCAGCATCAATAGCCCATATATATATATATATATATTTTTTTTTTTTTTTTTTTTTTTGGAGACAGAGTCTCACTCTGTCTCCCAGGCTGGAGTGCAGTGGCGCTATCTCTACTCACTGCAACCTCCACCTCCTGGGCTGAAGCAATTCTCATGCCTAAGCCTCTCAAGTAGCTGGAACTATAGGCATGTGCTACCACACCCAGCTAATTTTTGTATTTTTAGTAGAGACAGGTTTTGCCATGTTGGCCAGGCTAGTCTGGAACTACTGACCTCAAGTGATCTGCCCACCTCAGCCTCCCAAAGTGCTGGTATTACAGGCGTGAGCCACTGCACCTGGCCTAATATAATATTCTTAATATTCTTACATTTAAAAAATGAAAGCAGAGGAATGGTGGGGGGAAGCTGACATTTTAAGAGTCCACTTCCTTGTAGTTATCATAGTTAATTCTTACTGGTACAATAAGTGGTAACTTGCCAAGGTCACATTGCTAGATGTCAGAGCAGAAATTTGAACTCAGGTCCAGCCAAGGGCAGCACACTTCTCAGAAGCATTAACAATTCAGTTTGTAGCAGGAGCGGCCGCGGGAAACGGATCTCTTGGACACCGAATACAGGAGGAAGGAATTTATTTCAGCTGGGAGCAAGGTGGCATAGGTGCCTAACAGCCAAGCTCGTCTAACAAAGGGAAGTTCAGCCTTTATATAGGCTTATACTTTAGATGTTACACGTGGAAGAATCTTAGGTTCATAGTTTTAGGACTCACATGTGAAAAGGTTTCTGGTTTGATCTTGTTTTAAGTAAAAATAGTGCCTTCTGGAGAGTTTCCGCAAGGCCTAGCCTGTTGTTTTCAGGAAGGAGATTCAGGAGGCACCAGCTGGCCTGCTCTCTCTTTTATTGAGATGCACAGTGGATGACAGAGGGGGAGGGAATCCCAAATGCCTGGGTCTCCCTCCTCAAGTTCAGTGAGTGTTTATTGAACACCTGTCGTGTTCTGGCCCTGTAGGTACTAAAAATATAACTAGGAATAAGATGGAATTTTAGAGAAACTTTCCCTCCATAACAGTATGTTTTTGTTTTTTTTTTAAATGTATGTATCTATTCTGGGTCTTTGTTACCAGGAAAAAAAAAATGTGAGTTTGTATGTGTTTCTCTAATATGATCATCCCAAAACTCATATCTTTTAGGTTTTCTTAGTTGGAGCCAATGGGTTACCACTGTTATCTCCATAGCACATATTCTCATGTTTTTTCCTACATTGCTTCAGGCAAACTTGTTAATTATGTTCACAGTGCTCTCCTGGTTCTGTGGTGAAACTTGGTCTGCTTCTTCCTCAGTGCCTTCTCTACAGGGCTCTGCACAGAGTGGGTTCTTAAATACAATAGATGCTTTGCATTTGCTGGTGTGGAGTTCAGTCTCAATTATTCACAAGTATTTGACATGTCGCAGTAACTAGTTTTCCTGGACTATGAATTTTAATTCACCTAGATGCTAGGTCTTCTCACAAAGCTGATGAGTGACTTAACCCATAGCCCAGAATCTCAACTTCACTTGCATACTTTTTTTTTTGAGACAAGGCCTCACTCTGTCACCCAGACTGGAGTGCAGTGGCTTGAACACAGCTCACTGCAGCCTCAACCTCTTGTGCTCAAGTGATCCTCCTGCCTCAGCTTTCAATGTAGCAAGGATCACAGGTGCACACCACCATGCCCAGCTAACTTTTTAAAAATTATTTTGTAGAGATGGGGTTTTACCACGTTGCCCAGACTGGTCTTGAAGTCCTGGGCTCAAGTGATCCTCCTGCCTCAGCCCACCAAAGCCCTGGGATTACAGGCGTGAGCCACTGCATCCAGCCCAATATATATGTTAGTTCTTGAGAGGTGATTAAAATTTAGTTTCTTTTTTGAAAAAAGGTATCAAGAAAAAAAACTTTAAAGTTGAGAAAGTAGGCTTTGATAGTGTGGGGTATACATATGAGTGCCACTGGCGATTAGGTATATAAATGTGGGACAAGAAAAATGCCTGGAATTGTCCTGAATTTTAGATTTCCGACTTTCAGTATTCTCAACTCAATGTATGAGAATATACCATATACTTAATGAGTCTTAATGATTCTCCCACCTCAAATAGAGGCATGTCTCCATGTTAAAAAACAAAACAAAACAAAAAAACTTTCATTTAGTACAGTGGTATTTATCCAGGGCTGTACAGCAGAATCACTGGGGTACTTTTTAAAAATACATATAGGAAGGCTGCATTCTAGACCTACTGAAACAGAATGTCCAGTATTGAGGCTTTTGCAAAAGTGTGCGAGATTATTCTGATGAGTACAATCCCTAATTTAAAGAGAGATTGCATTAAGAAATGCCATCTTTTATCAAGGTGACTCTGTTCAGTCCTCTTTAGTCAGATGTGCTGTCACTGTATACTTCTCCTGGACAGCTGTAGGGTGTGGTGTATTGGGTTGTCCTGCTGTGTTGTTTGACAAACCAGTGGCTTCCAGGGACTGTTTAATGCAAAGCAGTGTCATTAAGCAACTCCTCAAAAGTTCAAGGATTCATTATCCATTTTGTAGATTACTGGACCTTTGTTTCCTCTTCCTCCTCTTGTCTGTCTTGAAGATTTTGTTTAACAATTCAAAAAAAAATAATTAAATGGATTTAAATCAATTGAATTTTTATTTGCCAGAGTTCTTAAAAAAAAAAAAAAGAATGAAGGGATAGGAGGGTAAAGTTCATCTACAGTAAAAACAAATATCAAACACAGACATAAGCACTTTTTGTTGTTTGATTTGTTTACAATGACCAAGCTTACCGGCTGTATCTATAAAACTCCTTTCATTTGAGACCTCAGAGTACTTTGTTTTTACCAGCATCCTAGGGACTAGGATGGGAGTTTCTCCCCTCTCCCTTACTCTTCTACTTTCACTAGCAACCTGGGAGAAACTGAGGAAGTCTCTTGAGTTTTAATATTTGTAGTTGCAGTATTCACTCAGGGCAAGGTTGGGAGTTTGTGAACTGAAGGAAATTAATAGAATGAATTTTGAGATCCAGAGAGGCCAAATGTCACATAGAAAGTCAATGAGTCCCTCCTAGAACAAAAGCCTGGCTAGTTAGTTGGGAGGGGGAGGGGAGGGAAGAAATTTTTAATCATTTTACATTTTACTAACTTCCAGTTTAAAACAATGCTGGCCCTGATGCCTCAAATCTAGTAAGTCATGGCATACAAAGAAGTGTGAACTAGGGCTGTTGCCTTTTGTGTAGTCAATTTTGATTGCTTTTCTTAAATGGCACCCACATCTCCAGCTGTGAAATTCAGCCATCTGATTTGAAAAGTGCATTTATAGATGGAAATAATACAAATCAGTCTCTTGCTAATGCTGTTTTCTTTTCTTTTTTCTTTTTTTGTTTTTGTTTTTGTCTCCTTTCTCTAGCATGAAAGACTTTCTAGGTAAGAACTCAGCCTGTTTTATATGCATGCTTAATACTTGTGAGTGGAATGCATGTCTAATTAAACCTAGCTGTATGTAATAATTCAGTAATGTTTCTCACATCCTTTCCTTCCTTTTCATTTCCACAGCCATCACAATAATTTACCTTCCTGCCTCCAGATTCTCCTCTTTCCAATTCACCTTGTAGACTTCCACTAGATTAATTTTTTTAAAGCACCAGTGTACCAGGCACCATGCTAGGTATTAGGGAAACAACATGAATAAGACAGTATCCTTAACCTTCAATTAGCTAGTGAGCCACTAGAGAGACAGATCATTTCAATAGAACTTAATCAGTGCCCATTAAAAGTATGACAGGTGTTCTGAGCACAAAGAAGAGCAGTTAACCTAATTTGGTGGTTCAGATTGAGGTTAGATACTGTTATTTAATAGTGGATCCAGCAAAATACCTTGTGCCTAGATGGTGCTCATTAGTAGTTTGTTGAATGAAGGAACTAAAGACCTCTTTTGCAATTGCTGAAAAATTAAGAAAAGATATCAAAGGTTGGGGAATGACCCTTTGCAGTTTTTCACCTAGTATCTAAGGTTACAAAACTGATCTTCTGAAAGAAGAAACTAAATAAAAAATAATAGACTACAGAGCCAAAACTTGGAATCTTTCTTTTTCTACTGTTCCTCTGATGGGTAAATTAAGAAACTGGGGGAAGATGTGGTTATGGGAGCATAGGGCAAATGAGTTTCCTTATACTTTGTTGGGTATTGAGCTGGTTCTGCCTTATTAATAATTCTAAATTTTACATATGTTTTTCCTCTGCTTGTCCTCTCAGCAGGCAGCAGCTGAAGACAAATCATTTACTTCTAACCTAGCAGAAAATTACTTAGTTTTGCAAAATTGTTGGAGAGTGTTATTTTACTGTAGTTAATCTTTTGTGAACTCTCTTGTATTTATAATGGTGATTTGTGAAAGGAAACTTTTCCTCACAGACTTCAAAGTATGCTGTGAAACTGTATTGATTAAAACAGTGAAGCACTAGTTCAAGAATAAACAAAGAGACCTATGGAATACAATCCATAGCCCTTAAAAAATCACATGTATAAGGTGACTTCATCTCAATGAGGAAATAATTATTCAATAAGTGATCATTAGGACAGTTGACTGTTTGACCAACTATATCCTTCCCTTCAGCCATACCAAAAAACAAACAAATGGATTTCAGATGGATTACAATTTGTAAGAGAAAAGTGTTTTATCATAAAAGTTAGCAGAAGAGAATATTTTATAATCTTTATATAGGAAAAGCCTTTTCAAGTGTGATACCGTTACTGGAAACGGGTCCCAATTCAGACCCCAAGAGAGAGTTCTTGAATCTCACTCAAGAAAAAATTCAGGGAGAATCCATAAAGTGAAAGCAAGTTTATTAGGAAAGTAAAAGAATAAAGAATGGCTACTCCATAGACAGAGCAGCCTCAAGGGCTACTGGTTTCCCATTTTTATGGTTATTTCTTGATTATATGCTAAACAAGGGGTGGATTATTCATGCCTCCCCTTTTAGACCATACAGGGTAACCTCCTGATACTGCCATGGCATTCGTAAACCGTCATGGCACTGGTGGGAGTGTAGTAGTCAGGACAGCCAGAGGTCACTCTTGTTGCCATCTTGCTTTTGGTGGGCTTTGGCTGGCCTTTTTACTGCAGCCCTGCCACCGGCTTTATTAGCAAGGTCTTTATGACCTCTATCTTGTGCCAACATCCTCTCTCATTCTGTGAATTAGAATGCCTTAACCGTCTGGGAATGCAGCCCAGTAGGTCTCAACCTCATTTTACCCAATCCCTATTCAAGATGGAGTTGCTCTGGTTCATATGCCTCTGACAATACCATAAAGATAAAAATCATCAAATTATCTAAAATTTAAAATTTCTAAGTAAAAGACACTATAAAGAGACAAAAAGTGAAGTGAGGAAAAAATATTTGCAGCCTGTATTAGTTTTAAAAGCCCTACTATATAGGAGGCTCCCCCACTATAAGAAAAAAAAGATGATTACCCTACTGAACAAAGGCTATGAATTGACAATTCAGAAACAAACAAAAAAAATGAAATATAAATAACCAAAGATATTGATCATTCATAATGATTTTAAAATATTAGCTGGGCACAGTGGCTCAACGCCTGTAATCCCAGCACTTTGGGAGGCTAAGGTGGGAGGATCACGAAGTCAGAAGGTCGAGAACAGTCTGGCCAATATGGTGAAACCCCATCTCTACTAAATAATACAAAAATTAGCCAGGCAGGGTGGCGTGCGCCTGTAATCCCAGCTACTGGGGAAGCTGAGGTAGGAGAATTGCTTGAACCTGGGAGGTGGAGGTTGCAGTGAGCCGAGATCACACTACTGCACTCCAGCCTGGGTGACAGAGCGAGACTGTCTCAAAATAAATAAATAAAATAAAATATTTAAATTAATGACATATCATATTTCTACTATTGGATTAGAAAGGATTAAATCTCCCTGGAGGACAATATGACAATATATATATATATCAGCATTTAAAATATATTTACCCCTTGACCAAACAAATCTTAAGATTTATCCTAATAAGATAATTGGACAAAGGCACTAAGGTTTATGGATAAGTCTGCTCATTTTAGCATTGTTTGTAATAGCTAAAGATTTTGAAAAATCTAAGTGTTTATCAATAGAAGATTAGTTAAATTACCTTACAGGCATGCAATGGAGAAGACTGCAGTCTTTTTTTTTTTTTTTTAATGAGGCAAATCTATTTTTACTTAGATGGCAAGTTGCCCACAATCATAGTGGTAAGTATAGAGAGGAGGAGGAGTTAGACAGCAGTGTATATTATCTGAATTTATTTATAGAAATATGTATTTTAACATATTGATATACTTGACATTCTGAAAGGGTATGAACTAAACAGTTAAAAGTGCTATTTCTTTTTCTTTTTTTTCTTTTTTTTTTTTTTTTGAGACAGTCTTGCCCTGTTGCCCAAGCCATAGTGGAATGGTGTGATCTTGGCCCACTGCAACCTCTGCCTACCAGGTTCAAGTTATTCTCCTGCCTTAGCCTCCCAAGTAGCTGGGATTACAGGTGTCTGCCACCACGCCTGGCTAATTTTTTATATCTTTTGTAGAGATGGGGTTTCACTATGTTGGCCAGGCTGGTCTCAAACTCCTGACCTTGTGATCCTCCCACCTCAGCCTCCCAAAGTGCTGGGATTACAGGCTTGAGCCACCATGCCTGGCCAAAGTGGTTATTTCTTAGGTAGGATTATGGGGTGACCCTGTCACTTACAACTTTACATACTTCAGTATTAACTTTTTTACAAGCATATATGGCTTTTATAATCAGGAAACTCAATAAAGAGATTTCTATTAACAAAAAAAAGAAAAAGAATGTTTTGAAGAACGTGGGACTTAGCATCTCTGCAAATGAAAAGTGTATTGTTATTAGGAGCTAATTACTTTGCCTCTACCTTCTCTGTGTCTTCCTTACTGCCCTTCTACCTCTTCTAGTACTTACTTCATCTTCGTATCTACCACAGGACAGACACATCAGATGCAAGTTTCACATTTGCGACTCTTCAAACCATCCCAGTTCAGGATGTAGCACTCTGCAGGGCTGATTTCAGTTTCATAAGTGCTGCCTTTTAATTTGTTAAGAGCAAAGTCTGAGAAAAATATAAAACAGTGTTAAGGATTAGGGTGATAGCTGTACACTTAAACAGGTAATCAGCCGGGAGATCCCTCTCTTAATGAGCTTACCAATACTGGAAATAAAAACGCTATCAACTCTAAGAGCTCAGTTACTAAAATACGTAGAAAATCTAATCACAGGCACAGCACTCTTGATGTGGAGTATAGATAAAATGGTAGAAAACTAGCTCATTGGGCACTGTGTTAGTATCCCTAAAATGTTTGGGATTCCAGAAAACCTGTAGAGCACCTAAAAGACGTATGTACCATGCCCTTAGTGGCTGTTTCTTTCCTATTCAACCTCCAGCTCAGATCTCTAAGTCCATATGTTTCTGATTCAGTGACATTTCATTGTAATCATTTTTCCAAGAGCCATTGAAATTCAAGAAACCTTAACTTTTGAAAGCACACTTTTGAGGGAAGCTGTTCAATCCTAAACTAATTTGAAAAGCTCTTAAGATTTAAGTCAGCACATAGGTCCAAACCACTAATTTTTCGATAAGCTTCATTCTTGGCAAATGATGGTCGGCCTCCCTCTCCAAGCTTGTGCAGTTTAGCCCTGAGGTCTGGGAATGCTGGCAGAGGATTGAAGGAAAGAATGTTATGAGTTGTTTCTGGCCAGGGCTCTGAAATACTTAGCAAAGGCTCAAACTCCCCTGGAGCATTACCTCCCCCCGCCCGCCACCACTTTGTTCTCAAAACCAATTTTTACCTTTAATATTATCTCCCACAGGTTGGAATCAGGAGGTAGTAATCCTACAACCAGTGATTCTTATGGTGACCGGGCTTCAGCAAGAGCCCGTCGGGAGGCCCGGGAGGCCCGTCTAGCCACCCTGACCAGCCGTGTAGAAGAAGACAGCAACAGAGATTATAAAAAAGTAGGCTCTTTATTCAATTTTCCAGTTCTTGGGTGACGTATAAACCTCTCAGCCTTTCCCCACTGCACCCAGAAAAATTACTGTAGTTTTGAATAATCAGAAGAAAAGATAAGTAATAATTCCTTGCAGTTTTCTGGGTTTACTTCTCCTCTGCAAAAAGCTAAGGACTCCTTCATATATTGAAGTGTGTTTTGTTTGTTTGTTTTTTGAGACAGGGTCTCACTCTGTTACCCAGGCTATGTGCAGTGGTGCAATCATAACCAACTGCACTCTCGAACTCCTGGGTTTATGGGATCCTCCTGCCACAGCCTGCCGAGTAGCTAGAACTACAGCCATGCACCACCACACATGGCTAAATTTTTAATTTTTTTGTGGGGATTGGGTCTCACTATATTGCCCAGGCTGGCCTTGAATTCCTGGCAACAAGCAGTCCTCCCACCTCAGCCTCCCAAAGTGCTAGGAATACAGACGTGAGCCACCATGCCCAGCGACATATTTAGTGCAGTAAATACATAGAATCAGATATTTGGAAGTGTAAGAAATTAAGACTATAAAAAGGATTTTAAAAACCTAATGCTGTCTCTGAGTCCCTGAGAATCATGTGGTAGACTGTTATTTTTAACAAACACGTGCTTCTAATAAGGTCCTGTGAATATCAACTAAATACTACTTTGTGTTAGTTAAAAAAAGAAAAAAGAAAATCATCATCACTTTACAAGTTTATTTCCTTTGTTCTTATAGAATAGTACCTAGCTCTAAGAGTAGACTTTAAAACTTTCCCTTTCAGGTGTTTGAGATACCAGGAAAAAATATTTTTGTTAAGAAAAGTTTAGGACGGGCATGGTGGTTCAGACCTGTAATCACAGCATGTTGGGAGGGTGAGGTGGGATGATCACTTGAGCCCAGGAGTTCAACACCAGCCTGGGCAACATAGTGGGACCCCCATCTCTACAAAATATTGAAAAATTAGCTGGGCATGGTGGCTCATGCCTGTAGTCCCAGCTACTCAGGAGGTTAAGGCAGGAGGATTGCTTGAGCCTGGGATGTCAAGGCTGCAGTGAGGTGTGGTCATGACACTGCCCTCCAGCCTGGGTGACAGAGGGAGACCCTGTCTCAAAAGGGAATAAAGAGTTCCTGTTCTGTTAATGTTTTGTTAAGCAGAACTTGACTAAAATCAATACACACGCTAGGCTGGTTCCAAAAAAATAATTCTCTTTTTCATTGTTTTTTTGAGCAGTGAAAATGTCCCATAGGATAAAATGGAATGACTGTTTTTCCCCCAGAGATTAACATTATTGAAGTTGGAGCATCGTCATTCTCTTTGTGTTCATCACTTTGAAAAAGCAAGAGACCAGTTGGCTGAATGTACTCTGCTCCCTACACTTCCTTCATCTTCTCTATCTACTATACAGTGGTGGCTTGGGGCACAGAGCCCTGGGCATTCTCAAGTGATGAAATGGTGTGAATTCTAACGTGAGCCCTGATCCTCTTTTTCGCCCTCCTCTAGCTCTATGAGAGTGCCCTGACTGAAAATCAAAAACTGAAAACAAAACTTCAGGAGGCCCAGCTAGAGCTAGCAGATATAAAATCCAAGCTTGAGAAGGTGGCCCAGGTAAGAGGGAAGAAGAAGAAAAAAGATGGGAACCAAGGGTTGATGTAAGGAAGCAAACTGGACTAGGGCTGTAAGGGTCAGGAAGTGAGATAGAGTCAAGATCAGGCCTTCTCAGGGGCAATGACATAGAAGCTTCTTAGATTCTAATTTGATTTTAGGTTTCAGTCAGTGTTTAACTTAAAATTAAAAACTGATAATTCAGTGAACAATTCCTGATGGTCTGAATTCTAATTATTAATACTATAGATCATCATCTACTTCTTTCTTAGTAGAAAAGTATAAACCAGAACTACAAAGCTAATCCTAGACAGTTTCTCTTGTCTTGTTCATTATGTTTCAGTTCAGTTTATCTACACATCACCACTGGTAGAGAGACAAGCAAGACACTATTAAACCTAGGGCAGAGAGGTAATAAATTAAGCCTAGAGAAATAAGTGGTTTGCTTATGCCATACAACAAATCAAAGGCAAAGGTGGTGTCACAACATAGGATTAAGTCCCAAAGCAAAGATTCTGTAGCATATGTTATCTCCCCAAGCCACTACTCTTTTTCAGCCTACAAATAAGGAATATTAGTGGCAGAAAGACTAATAACCCATATCCTCTCACTGCCAGGTCTGATTTAATTAGATGATGCTTTAGAGGATGCTGGAGGTAATAACCTCATCACCAGTGAAACAAACTGCTGAAAGCTAAAGCAAGCACTGCCTTAGGTTATTGCTGAGTTAACAGGAAACCTATTATTTCCCTCCTAGAATGCCTGGGGACTCAGAATTTGAAAGCTGAAGTTAAATGATTCTTTACCAGGAAGGCTTGAAATGAAAACCAGAGGTGGCTAGTCATTCTGGCAATATGACTGGCTATAAAAAAGCAAAGACTAAAATGCTAGGGTTGTACGGTACCAAGTACATGGAGTTTGGAGGGCAGGGGTAGCTGAGTACCCTCTAATCATCCTATTGTAACCCTTCTGGAATTGGATGAGCAGGAGGGTGCCAACACTTGCAAGACACCCCCACAGAGCTGCGTAGAACCCTAGCAAGACAGCCAGGATGCTCACTTTCTGGAGCAGGGCTTGCCCAGGTACAAAATGGTTGGCCTGTCCTGTGAACTGCCTGTCAGCTTAGAAGAGCCACCCTCTTCTTCCTGATTATAGTAGCCCAACATGGCTCTACTAGAAATTCCTGAGACCTACTGCAACACAGATAGATAATAACTAGGCTTAAAGTGATTTCATGGAATAAGAAAAGTAGGTTTCTAAATGTGAAAGAAAAAAATATACATACATAGTTATAACCCTGCCTTAAGGCATGTGGGTGGACAGAATAAATCTTAAGGTCTCTTCTCACTCCAACATTATTAATCCAGGCAAAAAAAAATGTCTCATTCACAGTAGACCCTCAGAAGAAATCTGGGACTAATTTTTATTCTGAATGGTGCCACATATTGGCAGTGGTTTGTAAATACAGATCTTATGCTGGTTCTCATCAGTTATTACTAGGATTGTTTTACAGAAAATTAAGGATCAGTCATGCAGTCATGTGAGGAACCACAAGAAGAGCAGTTTCACCTGCTCCCCACTTTCCTCAGCAGAAGCTTCTGACAGCATATGTCTTGACCTTTAGGGGTTCTCAGCATTTCCACCAGCCCGTGCCTTATAACAGTGAGCAGTCTAACAAGCTGCTGACATTGACTTGCACAGAGGGCATTGAAAATAAAATCAGCCTTTCCAGTTGCTGGAGAAAAGCATTTACTCTCCGGCCAACTGCTTTGCTGGGTGTGTCAGAATATACTTAGTTTTGCCAAATACAAGTTATTGAAATTCAGAAGAAATGGTGCTGCTGCAAACTGAGTCTCTGCTGTTTACCAAAAATGGAGTTGTTTGGCAGGACAGTGGAGGGAGGGCTTGTCAGCCTCACACATTTGTATGGAGACAGTTACCATATGAGCATACACAATATTTTTATATAAACGATCCACCCATACTCTAAAGGAGTCAAAATTTGAAACAGAACAAACAAAAAACTAGTTATTTGTGTATATAAACCTTGAAAATCATGAAATCATCACAGCTTCTACAGCTCCTTAGGCTTAGGAAAGAAAGACTTATGAGAATATGAACAAGCTGTTGAATCTATTTCTGCATTTTTTTCTTTCCCTTCTGCCTCATAGTAGATGCAGCATAAAGGCAGATGGCCATGCCCTTCTGAACTGAAGGTGAAAGCCTGGAACAGGAGACAGAATTCTGAGTTTTACTGTTAGTTCTGGCCATTCCTTAATTAAAAAAAAAAAAAAGAAAGAAAGAAAGAAAAATCACTGCAACAAGACCAGCATAATTTCTTTTCCTTTTTTTGAGACAAAGTCTCACTCTGTCACCAGGCTGGAGTGCAATGGCGCAATCTCAGCTCCCTGCAACTTCCACCTCCCAGGTTCAAGTGATTCTCCTGCCTCAGCCTCCCGAGTAGCTGAAATTACAGGCACGCGCCACCACGCCCAGCTCATTTTTGTATTGTTAGTAGAGACGGGGTTTCACTGTGTTGGCCAGGACAGTCTCGATCTCCTGACCTCGTGATCCGCCTGCCTTGGCCTCCCAAAGTGCTGAGATTACAGGTGTGAGCCACTGCATCTGGCCGACCAGCATAATTTCTGTATTTATTTAAATATTGTCTCTGCATGACACTAAGCAAAATAAAAATAATCACCCAGCAGTTATTAAATGTCTAGTGAATGTTAGAAATTCTGCTGAGTTCTGTGACCCTACAGCCAAAAGGGACTTAAGGGTTTTTCATTCCCTTTTTAAGAAAGGGTCATTATCTGAGGTTATTCTGGTTTTTAGCCATGAAGCTAAATCTTTTCAGCGCCTCTGCAAAATTTAAGTCAAAGATGATCTAAAGTAAACATTCTAAATCTTTTATTCAAATAAAATTACCTTATCTGAAAGCTGAATATTAAGACAGATAAAAGTGGAGTACCTCTGTTCAAAGCAAGGCAGATGCCATGAGTGGACTCCTAAGAACCCCTAAAAGCCCATCCACATATGAAAACCACTGCTTTAAAAGAAAAATGGTATTAATTCCGAAAACAGAAAGAATAGGGGAAAGGCGATTATTTAGACAAGTGCCATTGGCCTTAGGCATTCAAGCTCAGGAGCTGCCAGCCTTTTAAAGAAAAGCCATTTTTTAATTTCCTCTGGGTTGTGATATTATTCATAGAATGAAGAGGGGAGAAGAATGGTGAGATATAAGACTATAATTAGCATTGAAGACCTAGTGGAAGAGAGAGAGTGTGTGTATTGTGAGTAATGTCTTTGTAATTTCAGGGAATACTACTACTGCCTTCTCCTCCTCAGAGGGAATCCTGCAAACTTCAGAGAGGTGATAATGTTAGGCTTAGAGATCTATCAGAACCTATTTGCTGGGGGTTCCTGCTCTAGGGGAAATCCAAAGCTTTACTGTTTATTTCTAGATGTCCAGTAGTGAAGCTGAACTAGACTGGGCGTTCTACTGGCCCTGAGACAACTTAAGTAACAACTGTTTTTCTTCCATTTGCACCAGCAAAAACAAGAAAAGACCTCTGACCGATCATCAGTGCTGGAGATGGAGAAACGGGTATGTGCACGTCTGTTTTCCCCCATTTCATCTCTTCTTTCTGACTCTCTCTAACTTTGTTGTTCATGCCAATGGAAAAAGTCCATCTTAAGAAGGAGGGAGTTCTGCCACATTCCATTCCCAGCTTGATGATAAATTCTTTTTGTCTGACTCTGGGCAGTAATTTGATTGCTAGTCCTTTTGATTTCCTCAGATGTCAGTACTTTCCACATATTCAGTCTTAAGGTGGGGAAGGGTCCTTGGAAGGTCATCTCATACAATGTTCTGACCATGGGCAGAACTGCATATACACACAACCCATAACATTTTTGGTTTACTGTATTGCAGACACACACACACACACACCCAGCAAGGTCTCTTTGGTTTACTGTATTGCAGGCAGACACACACA